AGATAATAAACTTATCACCTATAAAATCTTTTGAGCTCAACTGAAATGATGAAAACAAAAACCAGGAAAGCTTTGTGGCTTAGAGCTTGATCAGCTTGAAATTTCAAGAGCAAAAGTTAAGTTTTTCCTTTCCAAACTCATCACATGGTCTTAACAAAAGAGATCTCCTCTCCCTACAAACCCTCTCAAACTCTCACATCCTCTGATCATCAAGGCACATTATTCTGACAGCATTATCTAAATGTTCTCTTGTTCTGTCCTCAGAGCTATTTCCATTCTGTAAGAAATAAGTGACGTGACTTCCTCGCAGTAAAACCTTAATCTCCTAACATCACTGGACCACAGGCTTCATTTTACTGCATGACATTAGCATGATTTCAAACTGAAAACGCTGGTTTCAATTACAAAAACAACGAAAAAATGTCAAAAAGACACATGTCTAAATAGCACAGTAAACAGTGGTGTTGGATGTCGTCGTTTTGGGTTTAATTATTTATTCATTTAAAGAAATACTCAAAATATCTAACCTACAACCATGAAACTGTGTTTCCAGTGAGGTCTGCAGAGTCAAATTTTCAGCTTAATTTGCTCTCTTATGAAGAGCAGCACAAGAGGGACTGGCTCCGCCAGTCAGCTGAGACCTTACCCAGATTGAGAAATGGGTTAGAGGTGTTTGTACAAACATCTTTGCCAGGGAGAACAGCCGCGAACAGAATTTCACTACTCAGACCCTTACACTGTCAATTCTGTTATGCTCTATTTCAGTAAACGCTTAAGCGTAATGAAAACACACTCAATAAATGCAGCTTCCCCAGCTACCCTCTTCTGTGTTCACATGATCTTGGTACTAAAGAGCTGAACGCGCAGTTTGCAGCCTCTACAGAACCAACAACTGCAGCACTGCAGTAGTATCAGGCAGTTACCCAAACCCGCAGCTAAAATAACTTCAGCATTACTTAATGAAAAGCAACAGTGGAAATCAGGTTGGTTTCTTCCCTCCCCATGAATCTTCTTGTATAACAATTTTCTATTTTTCCCCTATCACGTGCAGAGCTCCACAAAGATGTCTTTCTGTTACAACTTACTTAGCTGAGGAGACTATGAGTTGTGAGTCTTTGTACGCTATCAGATAGCTCTGGTTTTCTGGGTTGTGCACAGTGACCTAAAAGGAAGAGGAGAAAGTAATATTTTACTTTTTTTTCCCCTTGAAAGAGAAGCATTCCCTTCTACTCCCACCTCACTTCATTCAGTTCCACATTTCTTGGTTATTATCCAGTGTAAACTTCACTCAGTGTCCAGTATTTCCTTAAAGTTTTCACCTTCTAATTATCACACAAAATTGCAGCAATGGCTATAAACAATCTTCCCTGAGACAGTAAGCATAGAAACCATGTGGCACAATGTTCTGCCACAGCAGAACCCTCAGTCTATATCCAGTGCTCCACAGGTGTGTGTCTGTAAATGTATATAAACATATAACACAGAATACAATTAGATATGTAATGTTGTTTTTAGGACTCCACACCAACTCTACTTCTGAGAGCTTATTATGCATCTGATCATAAAAATAAAGCTTTTCCTTGACTGAAGTTCAGAATCAGGTTTCAGAAGCAGTACGGGTTCTCCTACATTCGCATCAGTGGTCGTGTTGATTTCTGTTGTCACGTTCAAGTTGTAAGGATCTTACCACATCACAAACCACCCTCAAGTTCCATTTTGAATATTCTACCACTAAAGAAAGCTCTTCTACTGTTGCTTGGCAACTCTATCAAATATAAAAGAATAAACTGGATCTGAAAATTTTTATCTCACCTTTCAGAAGATGGGTAAAAACCTAAGTGCTGTGAAGTTTTAAGCAGACACCCTTGAATTAGTACTTGAGCAGTTGTTCATCTTTCTCAGTTTTTAGCTTGCTTTTACGCTATTTTTGAGTCTGATCTTCTATTTTAGTGAAGGAAAGTTACTGCTGAAGCTATTTGCCCTCTGACTTGGGTTTTAATATATTCATTAAGATTCACTGACCTGTACCTGAAACCCAAATGTCACTTTCTGATGTGTGGAGATTTATTTCAGGGCAATTTTCTCTTTCAGTGCTTAGCCAGCTGATTTATGAAAGCAGCAAATTTTACAATATAGATGGATTTATTGTTTGTAAGACAATATTCCCTCTCTAATGATGCGTTATTACCAGACACACACTACAGAGTCAAACTCATGCCTCAAAGACAACATCCATGAACAGCAGCTTTTTGTAGGAACTTAAGCAGCAGCATCAAGTTACATTCAGCTCTTCTCACCAGTAATGAACTGGCAAAGGTGCACACACACACAGGATGGCAAAAGAGATTTCCAAACAAACATTCCAGGAACGCTGGTGAACACAAAGTTAAGAACTTCTATTAAAAAATATTGTGTAAAGATTATTAAAAGAATGTAACATTGAAAAGGTCTGGTTGAGACACAGGAGTTTACAGAAATCAACACATCTGCTCATACTCACACTTTCCAAGACCCGTAAACATCTTTCTGCACCCCATAACGAAGCAACCAATTTCTCTTCATTTTCATCACTGCTTAGGTGATCCACACATTCTTTGACTAAACAACAAAAAGAAGATGTTTTCCACTATCAATAAGAGATCTTCAAAAGTCAAATATACAAACGACGTAACTACTCAGTTGCTACCAACCTTGTTTTACACTTCACTGAACTCTAATCATAGGAAACAATCACAAAACCATGATCAGCATTCTGAAGATTTTCATTGCTCCAAGTAAATTACAAAAAACCCCTGCAATTTTAGCTTTACAAGTTTGTGACTGTTGCCACAATTTACCTATTTTATTTTCTACTGACAATGAAGAGCTTGTACAGCACAACTGGGCTCCTTAACTGTAATGCACTGTTTTGTAGAAGAGAAAAAAGACACAGCACATGCACTCTCCCCACACTTGACAAGTCTGAAACCATGTGCAAGTTGAACGCTTTCATCTCTTCAGTCCTTCCTTTGGAAGCTCTATTAATCTCAAGAATTCAGTTCTACAATGTCCCTTTTCCTATCTGTGAGATGATCCAAAAAACCAAGCCAAGACATATGCTTTAAAATTACAAAGGAACAAAATCCCCGCCATTTCTTCTTGAAGAGCTGATTTCCTCTGTGATATTTCGTTAAAAAAATATCAGGTCTGAAAATAATTCCAGTAAAGGGGATTTTACTCTAGAATAAGCGTGCTGTCTTTGTGTGCTGTTCAGAGATACACAACACAGTAATCTGTATCCTAAGCTTAAGCCATTTTTAATCTCGCACATTATAAGCAACATTATACACACTCCGTTTAACATTAAAACTACTTGCCATCCCAAATGCAACAGATCAGTGTCACTGTTATTTCCAGTGACTTGATATTGAATCGTGTACTTTATTTTTAACATTGATGAGAAAAAAACATTAAGAAAAGCAAACATCTTATTCGGATTCACTAATTTTTCACACAATCAAAGCAGCATCTCCAATACCTTTATCTACAATATGATCAAGACCACCTAGAAGTCGTAGTTCTTCTTTAAACCAGTCCCCAGCTCGTTTGGAGGTGAGAGACAGCAATGTCTCCATTGCCAAATGCCCGGTCTGAAATAGTCAGGTTCCAGAATTAGTGAAATCATCACAGCAGCCGTAGCCAATACATCAAATCAAATCAAACCAAACACATACACGTCATACAAGACCCGTAAAAACAAAGTTCTAGGTTCTACATAGAACCACCAGAGGGAGCAAGAACAGACTGCGAAATAGGCAGATCTAAAACATCACTTGGTGCTGATAAAGAGGTACTTTGCATTTTCAACTTTTCCTTGATTTTATCAATAGCTTAGAAAACGTCCGCAGCCTCCTTTCATCGGTTGCTCTTGTCATCAAAGGAAACAAGTGGAGGAAGGAAATGGACAAGTCAGCCAGGCAGGGAAAAAACACCAAGAAAAGCCGCACTGAACACTGCTTCTCTGGCTCCCAGATCTGCTTCTCATAGAACACCTTTGATTCTAACACAGGTATTCTGTGGTTTTAACTTTTTTTCTTTCATGGAAGAGAGCCATTAAACTAAAACACTGCAGAAAACCTTACTATATTTACGGATTTATTTTATGATTTTTTTTTAAGAAACAGAGGAATACATATCAAAATTCAACAACAGCAAAGGTAAGTTTACTCCCTGCAAATGGAAGTTGAAGAGATTTTAGGTGACTGTCTTAGTCCCCTGCAATGTTTTTAATCACAACGAACACCATTTATAAAGTCAAGACTATAACTTCTTTATCCAAAGGCCTCTAATAAAAGGCAAATGTTTTATTATAAACATATACATACATATAAATTTACACCTGCATCAAAGTGCACTGGAAAACACACAAGCAAATGTGGAGTACTGTAAACTGAATAATTTCATATATGGTACAACAATACAACAATGAAAGGTCAGGGAGAGAGCCATGAGATCTCATTAAAGCTAACTGAATTTAATCGCTCTCAATTTATCGTCTTTCCTTGACACATCTGATTTGTAATGCTTCAAGGAGGGCTGTGCTTATCCTGAGCTGTGCAGCATGTTCCAGGATACCAGCTGAAACAGCTCAGCACCTCCTGGGAAGAGCCGTACTCACCAGGCTTGAGTAAACACCCCATTGTCTTGGGAAACCAAGTTATAAATTCTATGAACCACCCCTCAACAGCTTCATCTGCTTTCCTAGTTTTCAAAATACTGATTTCCAAGGAGGAAAAGAAAGCTGAGGATTAGTCTTGGTAAGTAAGAATTACCACACAAAGTTAGTTCTCATTTTTTTAGGAGCACGCTCTGCAGCACAGTCACTGATGAGCATACAGACACCAACAGCATTTCTCCAGCGTCAATGGAGGTGTCCTTGGTCACGCCAGTGTTGTGGGGGACAAGAGAACACAAGCAGCAGCAAATCTACAACAGGTCGTTGCTCCTGGAGTCAGCAGCACTTCAATTCCCCATCACAGAGGAAACAAAGACAAAGCTGCAATTACTCCTGCAAATGTTTTACCACCTGGGAAACTGTCACCTACTTTTGAATTGCCAACAGCCACTCATCAGGCCTTCTCAGGAGGTAAACTAAACACACAGAGTGTTCTCATCTCATCATGAGGAGATACAAGATCCAAAAAGTCACACTTTTAAAAACTAAGTTAAAAACATACTGCTGAAGGAGATGAGGGTATTTTCAGCAATGGATGAAGAACTTCCCTTCTGAAGACAACCACATGAGAAAGTGTTTTGAGGGAGGAGGGGAGAGAACCTGAAGACAGCGGTTTAACAGAGCCCTAGCTCTCTGCAGCTTTCCCATCCTCTTCAGACAATTCCTTTCACTTTAAAAGGCTGAGCTTGAAAATACTGTAACAGGGCTATCTGAAAGCACGCATAACCTAAGCCAGATTGATAGAAGCTGAATAACAATTCTCCTCAGAGCTCTCAAGGGCTACAACAGACTGTAGTTTAGTTGACTTCCCAAATACCTTCACCATGAATGAAGGCTTAAAGGCCACACAGTCTTTAAAATACGGTGCTCAGTTTTTTGCCAAAGTGCAGTAAGACTTCAAAAAACTCAAAGAGAACATGAATTCATATTTATACTCCTGGGCACAAGAACACAAACAATTTTCAATTCTTTTTTTATTGAAATTATTCAAACTTTGTAACTCTCTTGCTTTTGGGGAAAGCAATCCATTCTATCCAATTTCTATGGCCATTACTAAGCAATTTTAACACTGATGGTTTGAAACATGCTTTACTTAAGCTTTCAGCCTTATGCTGAGAGTGAAAAACAGGATAACCTCTTCCACCAACCAAAGAGAGAAGTCACTTCCGAAGGTTTTCATTATGATGCAGCAGAGAGGAGCAAGCTGCAAACATCAGCTACAGAGGGCTATGCTGACTGACAGGCAAGCACCATTTGCTAACAGAAGGCTAAATTATTCACATTTTATCCTTTTCTAAGCCAGCAAAAAAAACCTGGAACAAATTCATTCCACAGAGACCTCCTTTTCAGTTTCTGGATTTATGTTTTCATGTTCACAGCAGTCTAGAAAACAGAATCCTCAAAAATCAGGTCAGTCTGATTTCTAGATAGTCACAAACACCACTGTGGAAAGAGATGGGCAGTACTGATCATCTTTCTTTGATCTGTGTAAGATTCAAAAAAATGAAGGTGTAATTGGTTAAGCACAAACTGGAGTTACCAAAACATCTGCTGCAATCCTTCTGTTTCTCAGTGGGTATGTCTCAGCCTGAAAAAGCACAGATCTTTTCTTTACTCCCAAAAGATTTGCATTTTTGTTAGCATTTTCTGCCTGTCACCTGGTACAAAACAGAGATTACTTCTTTTATCTCATGACAGGTTATCTATGTGACAGCAGCTTTATCTTCTACATATGAAGTTCATTATTGTTTCAGCTTACCACTGCTACCATCATAAACTGGAAGAGAACCTAACCATCTCATTTGGTTTGCATATATTCTCTAAACACTGCATAGTCTCTGCTTCTAGATGGTGCAGCTGGGAAGTACCACAGTGTTCAACACATTTACAACAATGGCTCGACCATTTTAAGAAATGCCCGAGATGCCTCAGGAAAGAAAAAAAACCAACCATAACAAAAAACCAGCTGAAACCGATGGCCTGTGGTAACACTACTCTTCATTCATGGACAACTTCCCCACGAGACAGAGCCCCTTTTAAGAAATCCTCTCCCTTTAAAACCCCTGCCTAAGAAAACAGGACACAGTGACAGTTCATCAAAACCCAGCAGGTTGGGTTAGATTATGAATATGAGAAATGCTCGAACAGGAGACAGTGGCCTACATGGCTGGATGCTTCAGCCATGAGGAACCTGTACCAGCTGCTCCGTGCTTCATAAAGGGAGCTGTCTTAGATCTTACAGTGCAGTAGATACCCTGGCACCGACAGACTGTGAGCTACGTGAGCTGCCTTTGGTGCCAAACCAGCACTGAAATAAGACACTGATTATACCAGTTCTGAGCTGATCACCACCTAGAGAACAAATTTCATTCTGTGTTGGTATCTTCAGATTATATCATGTGAATTCAGAGTAAGTGGAAAGCAGAGAAAAGAATCTCAAATTCATTCTTCCTTCGCAGATTTCGAAGGTTAGAAAGTGAATGAGCCCCCTATCTGCACATTTCACAGGTTTGCAGGAAACAAGCCTGAAACTGAAAGCTCTGAAACAATTCTCCTTTGTTACCTACCAGAAACTGGTTACCAAGGGTAAGAGTTATGGCATCAGTATTCTCTTCCCCAAAACTCGGCTCCTCCTACTGCTACAAAATACTGAGTTTTCATACCAATTCAGCTGTCTGTTCCATAGCCAGAAATTTTTTTTGGGAAAAAAAAAGAAACTAACTTTCCTAAACTGACAAAAAAAAAGAATAAATCACTAAAGCCACAAAAGAAACTGCCAGCTCAACAACGCAGATCATCTTTTAACCTAATTTACGATGGAACACAATCTGAACTGCAGATTACCGACAGGAGCTGAGACATTACTTGCAGAGATAAAGCTCTCAAAAGCTCACTTCATGAACAATAAATCAGAAGCTTCTCCTGTCAGGTTTAAGTATTACAAGAAAAATGGCAAAAACCTAATAAGAATCTTTAAAACATCAGACAAACGTGTCGTAAGATGTTAAAAAATGAAGATCATACCAACACCTGCTACACTGAAACATGGTGAATGCAAAACCACGTTACTAATTTTTGCCATCTATGACCACTCATCTAGTCAATCTGTCATCAACTCTTTAAATACACTCTTGTAAAAAGACTTGCAACTTACCCTTTATTATTCAAGCTAGCTTGATGCTAGCATCAAACCATGGCCAAACATATTTTTAAACAAACTGTTCGCTCTGTTGCAGCTGAAGACATGTTCATGAAAAACAAGTGTATTTCAGAAAGGAAGGAAAAAAAATCATCCACATCTATAGTAATCAACACTTTGAGCAGAAAGAAGTCATGCTTCTGTAGGACAGTTCTGTTTTTTCTCATGGGAGACCCTACAGCACATTTTGTATTTAACACACAATACTCTTATTTGCATGTAAGAACCCCTGTTGTTTTTGAATGTATATTGGGAAAGAAACAGAGACAAATAGTCTAAAGGTGGTGTTTAAACACATGGGTATTTAAATTGTTACTTGGTTTTAATTGTTACCTTTAGTCACCCTTAGCAAGAGCGCAAGATGAATCAGAGCTGAAGAACACCACAAGTATCCTACTAACAGCTGTTTACAAAGGAAACTTCCCATTTCAAATAGCAGAATACTTACAGTGCAGTCATATGTACATAGAAGGCAGACAAAATGTCATGACTCCTTTGCTGGGAGATATGAAAGTAAGGATGATGCTCACAAGCTCCATTTTATTAAGCATTCCACTACCGACAAGGCTTTCAAATAAAAGTATGATACCCACCGTGATGTTTTCGAGATCAAGATGTTTGTTGTGAACAGTTTCACAGAGCCTTCGAATTTTTTCCTTAATTTTATTCATGTCTTTTTCATTCAGCAGCTTGGCAGAAGAAGCATCTTGCTCCAATTCCAAAAGCCGAATCATCAGATCTAGACTAGCTCTGTCTAAATCCATGTTCAAACGATCTCTACTCAGGATGTACATTAGAGCTGCTGTGCAAAGGGACAAATTCTTGGGTTGGGAGAGGAAAGAAAAAAAGTTAGTTTTTAGTAATCATGTTAAGCAGACCTGTTACAATTTTTAATAAACAGGCTGAAGATTTAAAAAAGAGGAGTCTGAGAAGTCCCAATCTACGCTAGCACTTGCACGAGTACTTACAGTTGTACACAGATTCCTTCTAGGAAGTTATTAATGCATTCTCCTAACCAATACAACTGAGACATAAAATCACATAACACAATTGCAAAACTCTAGTAGAAAATCAGGAGTTTCTACTTTTAAGGGACTTAGTACTGCAGACAGAGTAACAGTAACGCAGGTAACAGTACTGTAGAAGAGACAGGTGGCAGGGCACCAAAGTGAGAAACCACACAGTACGTGGTGAGGTAGGTGAACGTTCTGGTTCGATGGGATCAGCACCAGAAAATACATCATGGGGACAGCATTTGCATGTGAAGGGGGGTGTGGAGGGGAAGAGAGCCTGGTGACACACACTCCAATTCAGCCAAGCAGGTCTGCCAGTCAACAGTTTACCCAAACCTTTACAGCATGAACATATTTAATTTCCAGGGAAATTCTGTTTTTTGGAAGTAGCCAGAGCATGAAACAGCTTCCCTCCTGCCCTGTCCCCATCAGTCCTTAACAAGTAAACGTTATTATCTTGACCAGCCCTATCTTACACAGAAATGGTGGATAGGGACCTCTCACTGGCTAAAGAATACTTGATCCTTCGAGAATTCAACTCTGTCTTTGTGAGGATCCAGAAAAGCAAAGGCAGAAGGTGACTGTCAAGAAAGGACAAACGACACTGAAGAGAGCAGAGCAAAGTTAGCTGTCCCTACTAGTGCCGCAAGTACCGCACTCGCACCAAGAGACCCATCTGTCCAGGTGAGCTTCAAGTCACAGTACACAGCTATGGTCTGTCTTTTTCTGTATGAAGTAAGTTAAAAACGGAGACAGACTAATTCTGGGATGTGAATGCTGTACACTTCAACAGGAAAGAGGAGAATTTCAGTGTCATAGCAGATTAACATCATGAGTTCAGCCAACCACCAAAGCAATCATTAGCTTCTTCTGCTTAGTTTAGAAGTACTAATAATACTTGGTCATACGAAGCAGTATCAGCATTTCTAAAACAGGATCAGGCAGTTGACAGCCTATCAAAAGCTGTTAAAACTCCTTCCTGTCTGAGTCCACGAAACCCTTGGGTGAACCAAGACTAATTTGACTAACTACCAAAGATGCATTTGGAATACTGAACGAAGGAAGCAAGAGTTTCCAAATCTACATTTCCTTTCATGAATACAGTCTCAAAACACAGGTTAGTTAAAAACAAAATAAAAAATAAAAGCCTTTGCTGTGAATGTCACTACTCCAGCCTTGTCAGATGTAAGGCAATAAAGCAAGCTATGAGGCTTGTCAACCTCGACAGGGTATACATTGCTTTCTCATTTTTTCTATTAAATGTCTCCAATAAACCTTGCAATTTCACTATTTTAACTATAAAAATTGTGTCCCCTGGATTTACTTGCAACTGGTTTAAACCATGAGAAATTCCAGGTTCCTAGAAGCCGACTGCTCGTTCAGAATGGCAGTTATGAAAGCAGGATACAGGAGCACGCGCAGAGGAAACAATGGTTACTCTGCCAACCACTGCTCTATGCTCACTGTTCTATGCCTATTTTCTAGTGCCCAGCACCACCTACCAGAAATTTCTGGTTAAAAAAAAAAGGCTTAAGCCCCTCCAAGGAGTTTCTGTCAACTATAACACATGCAGCAGTTAACAGAAGGAAAGTGCAGAATTTATGATCTGGGCTGCCAATATTTAGACATTTCAAAAAGTCAGACATTGTTCTTAGATCTTTACTCAAATGCTTTACAGACACTCCGAAGTCTGATAAGGTCACTCACACTCATTTATAAGCCTCTGTACCTGGCCCTTGCCTGCCCCAGGCCCTTCTTTGCAGTCCAACCAAATTCCTGTTACACAGACTCATGGTTCTCTCTACCCATAAGCTCTGTCAACTCTTCCTCAGACTGTCCACCCAGGCTTTAAGATACTTAAATGTGATCAGACAGGACCCAAGAGGGGACCAAGACATTATGCAGAAGGTTTCAGGCTGCAGGAAGACTTCCAAAAAACCAAAAAGGAGTGGAGCAGGGCAACGTGGTTTAATCTTGAATATACATTCTGAGCTGAGAATGAGGGGAAAGTGGTTAGTGCAACTCGCTTTCGATCAATATCCTAAAAACAACCCAAACCAAACTAAACAAACCACATCACCACCCACACAACCAAAAAACCCAATCACACCCTCTAAACCCCATCCTTATGGACTGAAGTAGTGGAGCCAGTTTTTTGTGTTTGTTCCAAATGCAGCCTGCTTCCAGACAACAGTGGAGAGGAGAAAAAAGTAAAATATGAAGAATTTGTTCTGGACAGAAATTTGATGGCATACCTAACTATGGAGCTGCACTCCATACTTGTACAGAATTCAGGAAAACATCCCAGTGAACATACACTCCAGAAACAGCAGACCATTTACACCCACTCTCATCCTCGTCTTCCCTTGCTTCTTCTATTTATATCCCAGCTTGTGGGAACAGATGGTTATTTTCTAGGGTTCAGCACTACATTTAATGCACTTTTCTTTTTTTTTTTAATTATTCACATGCTGAAGACATTACAAAACCACATTTCTGTGCTCAGCTACTGACAGCTATAATGAAAATATATTTTTTTATTTTAAAAATTAATGATACTCCGAAACTTTTAGAGCACAGCTGAAGAGACAAAGTCAGTTAAAAACTGAAACTGTAGCTTAAAAACAAATCAACAAATAAGTAATTTTCATGTAAATATTCTGGGGCATAGCTCAGCAAGATAACTGGTTATTTTGTTTTCCTTGGTGGTTAAAAAAATACCTCTTATCTTGCAGAAATGGAAGAGTCTCCTACTCTCTCTGTCTATTCCACTGTCTCAGCACAGTCAGTGCAGCCTAAGCTCACATTTGTTTCCATTAGCAGTGTTATTGTGGCACTTCTCCCATCTTCAAAATACTTTAAAGAAAATATTAACAGAATAACTGTATTTTTTCCACTTTCTTTATTCATCTTACATGGATTTGAGCCACACAAGCAAAGCCTAGTGCAATTTATTACTGAGTTACTTTGCTCTGAGATATAGTGGAAATTTCTATTCATTTTGAAAGAGTTACAAGTTTAGTGAAATAATGAGTGGATGAAAGGGCAGCACAAAAAGCCAGTGAGCTTATACAGAGGTCATCATTGAAGCACATACTGTCAGCAGTCAGAGCACACATTGCAGCATTTACTAATAGCAGTTTGATAAAACAGTAATTTTATAATACTGTGTAACCTGTACCAAGAATGCACTGTAACTATATTAAAACAATAGCTACCTCTTTTTTTCCTGAGAACAGGGAGCATTTCATCAAATACACTGAAGATAGTGAATATAATCAATGCTTTTTGTAAGTGCAGACTAATAATAGCATGCAATTTCCTTTTGAACTGCGTGTGCTAGTTCTTTTGAAAAAGGAGGAATAATGGTAACTGGTAAAAGACAGCCGAAAATACACCGAGAGAGCTTGTGCACCTTCCAAGGGACTGTAGCTGTCCTTTGCAGATCTCCTGCAACGCAGTGGTGGCAACTGTCCTAAATAGCACGACCACACTTGATTCTTCTAGTATCACTTGGCACTAATTTGACAGCTCACAAAACAATGAATGCATTGGACCTGCTCCCTATGTTTTACAGTTAGCCATTGCTCATCTTTGAGGGAGGTGGAAAATGGGCTATTGTTCTAAACCAGGTACTTAAAGCTGCACAGCTTCTCCCCCCACCCACAGTAAATGTCAAATACAATCTCTTAAATGTCTATTTCTGTGGGTGCAAAGTTTCCTCCTGCATTGTCTGTCATTCTTCTAGAGCTATTAAACACAAGTAATAAAACCTGACTGGATATACAAATCTACTACCCACTTCAAGTAATATTTCCTATGTTCAGTTTTCGTACCAATACCTCAGGGGATGCCCCACAGAGGCACAGTTTCCAACCACTGGAAAAACAGCATCATCCCCAGGAAGCATTTTCTATCACAGCTGCATTGAACCTGTGAACCGGTAAGGAGAAACACCCAAACTGCTTTACTTTTCACTCAGGCCATGTTACTGTTAGTACTTTAAATTCACCTTCCCTAGATTTATCACAGAACACTGCATGGACTCAGGGCACCCTACGAGTGCAGCTACAGCACTGCCCAAGGAGACTGGAGCAGGACATGAAAAGTGCCCCACAACAGCTACAGAAAAGGAGAAAATTCACAAACAAGCAAGTCCAGAGACCAGCATTTACAGCCATCTTTAAGGAGAAAGGATTCCTTTCAAGGGTATTTTATTTTTTTATAACTACAACTATAAAACTATTTGAAAAAGCTTAGAGAAGATAGCAAATAGCAGTCCAAAGCACTGCCTGTTTTCCTAAAAAGCTTAATTTTTTTTTTAAAGAATTTCCAAACTCAGAAGCACATGAACAGTGGAAGGAGGACTGATTACTGGAACACAGGTGCTCTTATTTTTCATTTCACTATGGATTTGTAAAATGGAGCCACTGATCCCAGACGCACACCACACAGGATGCTTGACCTTGAATTACGTGTACACAGAATTCACACAAAGCAGACAGGCATCAAACTTCAACTAAACACACAATGAAACCATACCTGATGGTGCTGGGAATCATCCAGTGTTTTGAAAACCATGGCTACCATCCCATGCGCTCTCAGATGCATTCGGAAGCTGGGCATGGCGCACTTTGTCGCCAGGCTGATTACACTAGAGAGAATTCATTCTGCATTAGAACAGCTCAAAGGAACACATCCACAAGAGTGGCAGAAACAAGTCTTCAAGATGTGACTGACCTCAGATGTACACCTCAGACCCTGACACGCTCTGCTGGGATGTTTCTGCTAAAATTTGTATAGGGCAAGTTTGTAATTGGTGAACAGGGCAGCATTTTATCCAACAGTTGCTTACCAGCACCAAACTATGTCTGCTTTGTTTTTAAGGTTGGCTAAAAACAGGATTCAAAAGGGTACCCTGAACTTGCTGCTTTCAAACTGAAGTAGAAATAATTTCAAGTAGTTAAATAGGAAGTAAAATGTTCACGGATTAAGCACAAAGCTCTGATTAAGAGGGACAGGAGAACTTATTATGGATCAAGGCATTACAAGAAATTATAAATGTGAGCTTCCACTGCGGTCTACGTTATCTAATTGAGTGATTAGCCCTGCTTATGCCTGACTGTATCGTTACAAAAAAACAAACATTTTAAAAGTTCTTGCTACATTTCCAGTTGATGGAAACACTACAGATTTCAGGAAAAATCCGACAAATACATTGGTCTAATCAACGATCGGCATAACAGTTCTATTTTACAAATGGAGGTTTCCCCCCAGTTGTATTAGCAGGCTGTCTGCCATTTCTAGCACAGAGCAACATACAGAATATTAAAAATATATCGCTTTTAAATGTGGAGTAATGTGGGAGTGATTCTGGAATCAGGTCTTCTTCCATGACTACTGAGGAATCTTACTGTGGAAGACTCATACATTATGGTGTTTAAAGAACAAGTGGTCTTACACCTCTTGCTAACCACACCAGCACCAGTTAGAGCTTACCTACCAGCTTCTGATTCTTTTACATCTATTCCTATCCTTAACATTGATTTCCTTTGGAAAAACACTTTTTCTTTTAATTTGTTAACTGAAAGAAAGAAATGTTTATGGTGTTTATACAAGTTACATTCCATGATACAAATCTGGAAAGTAAAAGGTCAGTTTAAGATCTTGGGAAGCTTGTCATACAAGCTAATTAAGTGCACTCAATATGAAAAACACTCCTAGACTGTCATTATGGTATTAATTTATTCTTCCCATAATGTACATACAAACTGGATAAAAGGTTTGTTGTGTTTACACTGCAACAACATTTACTGCTAGTTTTTGAGAAACATGAATACATTTTTCAAATAGCTCTATGAAAGGTGGATGAAGCTTTTCCTCATCCACAGCCAAGTCTCAAGTAAGGTGTCCTCATCACCTGTCTTCTGTGCGTACAAGTTTCTCCTCCTCTACCATTTTAGTTTTGCTAAACGAAGAGGAATATTTACAAGAATATGTAATATATAAAAATATATATAAAAAGACTATTATATGGCTACAGAATATAATTCTTAGTACTTTTACGTCCAGAGAATGGACACTAATATTAAGTCATAATGTTTTTCCAAGTAAGACTACCACTTTTGATACTAACTTCACAGCAATGTGTAACTTGAACATTGAGTGCAATGAGTACTTCAAGACAACTCAGGGAAGCTTCCAAACAATAACTGAAGCCGCAGTACTTCCAGTGGGTGCTGGCTATGTTATTTCACAACAGAATACAAAGAACGGGTGGTTGAAGTTAAACAGCATCTCAAAATCACATCAGTTCTAGATTACAGCCAGCAAACGTTCAAGTCTTAGGGATTTTATTTTAGAATTGAATCTTGCATTGAAAAACAGAAACAACATCGCACATAAGATTGCACTAAACAGAAAAGTTACATTTTTTTTTTAATTTATGAGCAAGGAAAACAAGTGTGTTGATGATCTCGCTTGCTGTACAATTTCCTATTTCATCTTCTCACTCGTACTATTTTTAGTTATTCATGACACACAATCTTGACGATTATTATCAAATTTTATTCTTTTTAGCTGAAGTGCCAAGTAACGACCCAAACAGTATTTTAAAACACGGTCACTCCCCTGATGAATATTTAATTCAACGTACCTTTTAAACATAAGTTCAATGCTTTACATGAAGATATCTTACCTAAGGCAACGTGTGTTTAGGGGCTGATTGCTCTTCAATCCACTTAGCAAGTACTCAATATCATCTGTGAACTCTTGATTTTCACCAAATTCCACTACATCGTTGAAGTGCTTTACATGCTGAACAACAGTGTATAACTGGAAGAGACAAATATTTTGACCTAGGTAAGTTGCTCTTGGGATTAATTATAGCCTTAACAAGTACAGCTTAAAATCTATTCAGTTTTGAGTGCAAGGAAAATTAAGAAGTTAATGAAGGCCATTCAACTATTTAGATAGAAATATCTAATAGGAAAGCCAAATTTCATTTTGACACTGTTCCTTCAGTATTTAGGATTACCAACAATTCTTTATCTTAAAAATTTGTGAAGAATACTTACTTCTTTGTCTTCTTTCCTACATTTCAATGCAGTTACTATCTCTTGATAGGGCTGAGTAGGTATTGTCACAGTTTTTATCACTTTGGGAGGTGGTGCAGGAGCCTTAAAAACTCCATCATCTTTATGAATTGCCTCCTTTGAAGATAGCCTTACCTATTAATAAGAAAGTGCTAAAATGGGCAGATGTTTTGAGCACGTAAACATACACTAAATACATCAGGAAACAGTACAGGCGTGCAATCGTCAAATTCACATTTTGGGACTATTTAGTCCTTGCCTCACACTACCAAGATTTACCTAAGCTGTGTGATAATGCACCTACTCTTAAAAAACCAAATTAATATGTCAGAAATCATATTCATTTTTAAAGACAAAAACCAGTTCTAAGAAGTCAGGAAAGCTCCAGTGGGAACTCTGAGAACAAATAAGAAAAATAAAAGTCCTTTACACTCATTCCTTAAGCTTTGGGGTAAGTAAAGCCACCACGTTCAGTGTTTAAAAACAATTATTTGTTGATACAGATGAGTATCTTACCCCTTACACTGGAGCTTCCAGGATTGACTAAGTTGGGTACCACACTGAAGCACCATTAAGTACCATACCCAGTGCTCTGGATATCAGCACAGCATTGAGCAAAGTCTGTCTCAGCACAGCCCAAACTGAAAAACCGTGCCTACTGTTGTCACCTCTAACTACTGGAGGCCACCGCGCTACTGCGCTCAGGGTGTAGCTGCCAGAAAACCAACCTCTCCAACCTGATACTACAAACTGTATTCTACCTGTAGGTAGAAGACTGCCAATATAAATTTTGTAGCACCATGAAAATTGCCATCCAGAGAAATAAGAGAGGCATGGTGTGTACCTCAACAGGTAAATCCATGGTAATGTTCATACACTGGCGTTACTCATGTTTGTGTTATCAAATATTTGAGGAACAACATACTGTAGCATGAAATACAGCAAAACCTATTCTGAACTGACAACAGGCAGCAGAGAACTTGATGTTACGTCTAGAGTAACTGCTGACAGGTTTCCAGCCATCTCAGGCAAGCAATCTCCTCAGCATTAGTTAGTTAAATGTCAGCTTATCTTCAGATTACATTTTGGCACAAATTCAGATGTGAAGACAAACTACAGAAAATAAGGCAGAGACCTCCAAATGCTAAAAGTTTAAGTGTCAACGCCAGTGGTCATTTACTCACCCTCAATCTCTAAGTAACATCAAGTACTTAGTTTCCTTGCACAGAAAAGAAGAGTATTTTTTTAAAGTTTAACTGAAAAAAAAGTAGAATTAACACGCAGGCACGGAGGATGCATTAACTGTTACTCACTGCAGGGGATATTCTGAGAGAAAGCCTTCTTTTGTGCATTGCACATTGACAGACAAAATTAAAATATAAGCCAAGAGAACCTGCTACATTGACAGAGTATTCTTTACACCTTGCCTCTATCACTGTGCAGCATTTTCCGTATCTGCTTATGCAGGCTCCAGTGGTGAAATGCTAATAAACCACAGGGAAAAGCTGGTTTAGAGCACATACTGTGGAGGATTCCGGTTTTATTGGTCTGTGAACACAGGAGATCCACTCAAGTATCTCATCCATGTCTTGGTTAACAGAATCCCCTTTAAAGCCAATTCAAGGCAGCTTGGAGAGGCCATAAGAAAGAGTACTTGGCATAAGCAGCTTGCACGCTAGGGGTTTCTCACCATAAATCTAAGACAAATTTATCCAGATCTTCAGGTAACAAATCTCTGAAGAAATTAAAGAGGCAGGATCACCTGCTCAGGGATTACCTCTGAAGACATGGGTCAAGGCTCACTTGTAACTCTTAAATCTTAGTCATACACACCTACATCATGGTTTAAAACAGTGGCTGAAGTAACTTCAAATGTATATGGTAACATGAGGAGCAGATGCAAACTAATTCCCCTAACTGGTTTGTTCAGCCAGTCCTCTGCCATACTCCTGGATTGATATTTTGACGGCTCCAGTTACAGGGTGGGAGTTTGACGGCAGACAAAATGGCTTGTCTGACTAAGAACGATCCAGACGTTTTCTTAGCCTGAAGAGGACACATTCAAATTCTGTCTGAGAAGACTCAGACAAAATCTGCCTTTAACTTAGAGAGCAGAGTATTTCACAAAAATCAGTACTAAGATAAAGATTCAGGAAACAACAAAAGCTTCAGCTCAAACACGCATAATTTAAGTAGACAGTGGGGTTTAGGAGAGACCCAGGACTGAAATTCCTGCTCTCTCCTCAAACACGAGTGGCAATGGTTATTTCAAAGTGAGTCATCCGCATTTTTCAGGCAGTGCAGTTAACACTGAAGGAAGGCTGTTCAGAGCACTGCGAGGATGCAACCAAAACCAACCATAAATCAAAGAGGAGCCAATATAAGAACACTACACACAAGTGGAATTGAAAAAAAAACAAACAAACTGAAACTGGTGACAACAACAAAAGCTGAAGACTTATCACTGCAAGCGTATCTATTTTCCCATTGTCTGTTCTCAGGCAAGTACTCTACGCAAGGCACCAAATACAATGAAGTTTATTTGCAACGTACAATGCTCATCATCAGTAACAACTTTTACACACACAGAAGGTCAAGACCTTGAATTCTCAGGGTCTCAAAAGACTGAAAAATCATTTACCTTAAGCCTCCAAACAGTCACTGATTTTTGAACAAACAAGTGACTTCAAGAACTGTTTTCACCTCTTACCTGCTTTTTGCAGACATGCATGTATCTGTTACTAGCATTTCTGGCTGTATACTGAAAGCTTTGTTTCTTTCACACGGTCTTAAGACTCAAGTCAGCAATTCACAATACTTTGCTCCATTAGAAAGGAAAAATGAATGAAATATCTTTTAAAAAGCTTTTTCTTTTTGCCCTGCAACTTGCTGATTTCTATGGGTATTAGCAAGTTAACCCTAGGGGTCCACAGTTAGAAAGCTTAACTTCAGCAGATTGGGAACACGACATGACTGAAGTATTCTTTTGTATCTGTATATTGGAGTGACATGGCAGATCCCACTCTAGAGCATTTCCACTGACAATTTCTTTCCTATCAAATACCCAATAGCTCACATCACAAAGTGGACTTCATTCTGAATTACTGTGACATGACAGGATACCAAAAACTTATGTTTCAAGAAATATCAGTGAATCTTAAAAGATCTACTAAACGTGAGAACAGTCAGTCAGTCTACTTACTGGGACACTGGGAGTTTTCAATGTCGGTGGTGCGGACAGAGCCTCTGATTCTGGCTGGTTCCAGTGTCTAGCATTATATACAGCCTTTGTGGGAGACTAAAACATAAAAATAGAAGTGAGTTTTAAGCAAATCTACCGGTACTTCCTATATATTTCAAAAATTACTGTAGCAATAAAATAGCCAAACAAGTAAAATGACTTTTATTTTTCCCCTTCTGTCTTCCCAGCAACACAAGCTCTCAATATCAGCAAACCCGACAGGCTTTGAAGCACCTGACGGTTTCAAAGACACACAGACCCATTCAAATAGCAAAAGACACGACCTGTATGTATTTCTACAATTGCTCAGTTTTTCTCCTTTTAAAGTTTACTCAGAGGAAAGGTCTGCAGCCTTCCTACGGACAAAACCAGACAGCCACAGGAGAAAAAAACAAGTTAGCAAACACCGTATGAGTAGAAAGTATGAGGAGTTCAGAATCAAAATGTTCAATTGATGTAAAGTTTAATGCCCAGAGGAACAGAAAGCACTCAAATTAAATGCCTTAACCCATATTAATAAATGAAGCAGCTTTTTTGTTCTTTCTGCTCAAAAACGTATCAAGGCAAGTCAAAATACATCAACATTTATTACCCTTGGATTTTGGGAAATACAACAGAATTCATAGAGGAAGTAAAGACAGAACTACATTTCCAGCATCTGACCTTACCGATCCGACTGGACACCAATACTGCAGACTAACCACACCACTGCAATTGTCACCACTTCCCAACATGCCACGTATTCTGTAAACTGAGTAACTGCATACCTCCGCACACACACCTCTATAGCATTTTAAACGTGTTTAAAAATATGCTAAAGATAGTCGGACATTAAAAATTTTCTGTCAAAATATAACGTATTAACTATTTAAAACAGACAGTGGTGCAAATACAGCCCACAGAGGGGCTTCCTGTAGCAAACCCAGCAGTACCAGCTATGGATTGAGTATCATTTTATGAAGTGTAAGAAGGCTTTGCCATGTCAACAGCTACAAAGTAGATTTTGGAAGTCAAGAGCTTCTGTGTTACTGTTAAAACTCGACTGTGCTGCATCCTGCCACTCTTTACAAGAAAGGCCTGAGAAAACTTCAAAAAATAGCAGCAGAATGAAAATCTCAGCTCTGAGCTTTCAGAGCCCAAAAACCCTGTCAAGCACTAAATCACTTTTGTTTCCAGACAAGA